AATCTGTTCAGGTGACTATCTTACCTTTGGTTACTTATGGTTACACATTCTATGGGGCTTAGCTTGTAGCAAGACTGTATGCTGTGAGAGGATTAGTAGGCAATATTGAGTTGTATGCTTGTTGTTTTCCTGTATTATGTGCCTGCTTGATCCTGATTATTTATCTGTCGACATATTGTGTTTGGTTTGGGTTAAGGCAGTCCTGCTTTGTGCGGTAGGCTAAGACACTCGGTACTGACCGACTGTAAGTCGTATGCACGAGGGCTCAGAAATAGCGGTAGGGTTGAGGCGGTAGGCCAATAAACCCTGGGTATTCCAACCCGATGGTTGATTGGATTTGTTGTATATTAGCATTCCAACCTGGGGCCTGGAGGTTAACTGGGCCTGGGGTATTCCAACCCGATGGTTGATTGGACCGACATGTTTGATTGTATATGTGATATGTTTATATGGTGGTATTTTGGGGAAAACTCACCAAGCTTTATGCTTATCTAGTTGTTTATGGTTTCAGATATCATCAATTATTGCTGAATGGCGAAGGCATGACTGTACACACTCATCATCAACATTGAAGATTTTACGTTTCTACAATACTCTGATTTTTAATGAATGTAATTCGGAATGGATGGTTTTCTTAATTAATGGGTTGATAAATTGGGAAGTTTTACCTTAATAAAAATGAAAACTTTTAGTGTGAAAACGGGACGTTACAACGATTCTACAAGTTCCCGAAAAATATCGCAACTAGATTCAATGGTTTTTTTAGTAATTTAGGTTCTCTGTTTTTTAAGTAATTTAGGTTTACATTTCTATGTTTTTGTTTATGTTTTTTTAGTAATTTAGCTTTAATTTTCTATTTTTTTAAGTTTAATTTTATATGTTTTTTAATTAATGTAATATGGTTTTAATTAATGTAAAATATTTTTTTTATTTTTTTATTTAATTTAATGTTAAACAAAAGAATATTGTGAAGTGGTAATTATTTCTAATATCTAGTGAATTGGTGGTGGAACTCACGTGTTTTTCGGATGACTTGGATGTGAAGATTTGCCACAACCTTATCAACCTTGTGCTTTCATATAAAGATGTCTTTCTCTTATGTGTTCTATAATATTGAAGACTTTGAAATTTAACCGGTTTATTTCTTCAATCTTTCCATTATTTTAAGTATGATGTCATATTCCAAAATACATTTTTAACATCCTTTACTCACACAGCGCTCATAAGAAAAACAAAAAAACATGACCTTAGAACGACAAGACCTTATCAAGCTTGCTAAAAAGCATGGCCATGAGTTGTTTGATTTTCAAATGAAGGCTCATGAATACTCTTGAGTCTTGAATATAATATAATCTCGTAATACATCTCTCTCTAGTTAAACAACATTTATACGTAAATCTTTGCAAATTTTATTCAAAAAATTTAAGAGCATATATGTACTAATGGATTTATTGAAGAAACCCACTTATACAAACTAGATTATCACCAAGAAATGTGATGAGCCTATAAGTTCATAACTACCTAAACCGAAGTTATAACATATAAACTGCAATCTTTCAACATTCCACCTTTAGATTCACAATATTAAATAAAACCATTATGTCATATTATAATTATAATTATAATACTATTAATATATTAAATAAACCTGATCACAACCTATTTTACCTAGTACAAGCATTAATAACATAAATAAAATATCTAATTTTACGCATTACAGCAAAATAAAAGCCCTAATTAAACACCATCTTTATTTCATCACTTAACTTCGAATCGATCACTTTTCAACAAGTTTCCATGCTGTGAGATCCGCAATGTGTTTATGTTTCTTCTGGAGGTATAGTCTATAGACGATCATGGTGCACAGAATGGCGACAAGTATGATGAATGCTGACAAGACGACAATCATGGCGATGATTTTGGGGGAAGATTTCTGGGAGTGTGAGGATTTGGTGTAACAGTTATGGAGATTTGAGATTGGGGATGAAGCACTAGCACATAGATCGGGATTGTTTAAGAAACTATTTTCGTAAGCGAGGTTATCGAATGCAAATGGGATTCTTCCGGTGAGTTTGTTGGAAGAAAGATTTAAAGTGCTCAGCCTCAAACGGCTCATTTGTGGGGGAATTTCACCGGAAAATTGGTTTTCTGATAAATCAAGGTCAAGAAGACCTTTCAAATAACTGATGGCTTGTGGAATCGGACCAGAAAGTTTGTTTCTCGCTAGATGCAAAGTGGTTAGTGAACTCCAGGACTTGATCTCCGATGGAAGTTCGCCGGAAAGTGAATTTCCATCAAGATGAAGTACAGACAACTGTGAAAGAGAAGTGAATGATGTCGGGATTTCACCTGATAACAAATTGTTACTAGCCTTGAACACATTCAGTTCTGTCCAAGACGAAATGCTGTCCGGAATTTGGCCGGAGAACTTGTTGTCATTGATCTCCAATCTTGATAAATTCCATGATACTGTACTCGGTAGTTCACCAGAAAGAAAGTTTCCTGTAAGCATCAAGCTCGAAAGATTGGATAATGTCCAAATTCCTGGAGGAATTTCACCGGTGAAACTGTTATCCTGGAGTAGGATTGTTTCAAGGCTGTGACAACTCTGGAGTGATCTCGGGATTTCTCCGGTGAGATTGTTGGAGAAAGCAGCCACCACGAGCAAAGTACCACCACCGCACAAATTCTCAGGCAACTTTCCAGTGAGTTTGTTCTCGAATACTTCGAATGTTTCCAGCTTCGAGTGAAACCCGATTTCCTGAGGTAATTCGCCATCGAGATTGTTTTTGAAGACTCTGAAATTCTTCAGTGTCGGAATTTGTGAAATACTTGTTGGAATGTTGCCGGATAAATGATTTGAAAACAAATTTAACACCTCCAGCTGCTGCAATTTGCCAAAATCTTTAGGAATTGAGCCGTTCAATTTGTTCATGGAGAGATCGATTTCAATTAAATCTAAAGACTGGATCACCGACGGAATTCTTCCAGATAATTTGTTCTTGTACAAGGTCAAACTATCCAGTTTCTTCAACAGAAGCAACCCAGAAGGGATTTCACCTTCCAAGTTGTTGGAACTCAAATCCAACGTTTCCAGATTAGATAAATTTCCAATCTCCGACGGGATTGAACCAGTGAACGAGTTATTATCCAACGACAAATACATTAACGCGGACAAATTGCCGATGGCTGGAGGTATATCGCCGGTGAAGTTATTACCTCCGACATCAATCCACATGAGTCCTGAAAATCGGTCAATATCATCCGGAAACCTTCCAAAAAAACCGTTCTGCGCGATATCAATTTCAACTAGCTTCGAACAATTATAAAAAACCGTAGGGAACTCTCCGGTGAGGGAATTATCACTGAGATACAAATTTCTCAGGTTAGGTAAGTCACAGATGAACGGCGGTATATGTCCAGTTAATCCCTTGCTCATGAGTTCAAACCACTCAACAGAGCCGTTGTCGTTGCAGTGAACTCCTGTCCAGTTGCATGGCGGTGAAGAGGCGTTCCAGTTCCTCAGTGACGGCGGATTCCCCCATTGTTGCTTCAGGTTAAGCAATGTGGTTCGCTCGGACTTCAACAGGTGCTGTGCACTCGCACAGGAAAACTCGACCGCAGTGATGAAAAGGAAAAGGAAGGAGAAGAGTATGTGTATGGGTTTCAGTTTCCGTCGTGACGGTGGCACTCTTGTCATCTTTCTGTGACTCGGCGGTGGCAGTGGGAGTTAGTGTCGCCGGGAAAATTAAAAGGGCCAAAGTTATTGGGAAGCTAAATTGCCTACTTGCCTTCCCTTATTTTTTTTTTTTCCTTTATCTTTTTGTATATATATAGTATATTTGATTATTATTTTATAACCTTAAAATAAATATAAATATTATTATAGTTATAAAGTGTTCTGAATATTATAATAACCATAATTGGTGCCATCTATGTGATCTATCCGACTTGAAGAAGCCACGTAACCCCATTTTCATATCGATATCTATATATCAATCATTTTTAACATAAAAAAATCAAATATCTTGAAAGTCAAAGGATTAGGCTCATTAAAACGGTTAATGTTTATATAAGTACATAGATCTAATACCCGGAAGTCTTAAAAAGATTTTCTTCTTAAAAAGCTTACATGGTTAAAGTTTTCATGTATAAATAAGCTTTTATCGTTTTGAAGCTAAAAACAAAACATGAAATACTCTCAAGGTTTCTTCTATTTAAACCACACAAAGATGACGATTCTCTTGAAAACCTATTTTGGTATGAGAAATAAAATTAGTGGACGTAATAGTTGTAATAAAAAAGTGGCATGTTAATAGTGCCAGGAAGATAAGTTACATCTTTGAAAAATGGTTAGTAAAAAATTGTATCATTGCAATGGAAAATGCAAAAAATCTTACAGCTAACATGGTCGTACATTTGTTTATCATGATTACTTTTGGTTATTCTTTCCTTTTTTAGTGAGAATCAAAACCGTGAAAAGAATTAACATACAAAAAATCGTACATATGTTGTTGTATCAGAAAATTTGGAAAGTTTAACAAAAATAGCAATATAGAGAAATGTGTTGTTGTATCAGAAAATTTGGAAAGTTTAACAAAAATAGCAATATAGAGAAATATGGTCATATGGGTAATAACAAAAGAAAATTTGTAAATATATTCTGTAATAATAAATTTTATGCAAGTGTATACTAAATGCAATAGGAAAAGAAAATATAAAGTATCTTCGTTGTTAATACTTATTGAAAAATAGTATCGTAATAATATTTTAAAGAAAATATACACAAAGAATCATATATTTTAGCTATTTTTGTGGTTTAGCAACTAAAAATTGACAATTTCTTTATATTACTTCAACACGTTATACCAAGTTGGGATGGTCAATATAAATTTTCTTTTATATTGTTTTTATTTTTTAAGAAAATATTTTTAAAAAATAGAATTGACTTTTCATTTTCAGTTTTCTATGAAATTTTTAAAAAACACGTTTGGTTGAAAACGGGGGAGTATTCATTTCCATCTTAAAATTTTGAAAAACTTTGGAAAACTATAAAACCCACTTTTCTAATTTATATATAATTTAGAAAACTGAAAATTTTTGTTTTCTTAAAAAACTTTGGAAAACTGAATGAACCAAACATGTTTTTAAAATTTTCATTTTTCTTGAAAAAAATTCACAGAAAACTGGAAACTTTTCCACTGTCAAACGTACCTGTGGGTGCGTTTGGTTGTGGAAAATTGTATTCATTTTATAAGAAAATGTTTTCAGAAAATAGAGTTGAGTTTTCATTTCCAATTTTCAATGAAAATTTTAGAAAACGCGTTTGGTTGAAAGCGGTAGAGTTTTTATTTTCCATTTTAGAAATTTGGAAAACTGTAAAACTCGCTTTTCTATCTTACATACAATTTGGAAAACTGAAAATTTTTATTTTCTTATAAAACTTTGGAAAACCGAACGCGTTTTCAAAATTTCAGTTTATCTTGGAAAATTTTCCTTAGAAAATAGAAAATTTTTCCACAACCAAACACATCCTTATTGTTTTGATGAAAATGTTGATACTCCTGTGTTGTTTCTACTTTCTTGTTCATTGAAGTAATAAAATGATTATATTTTTTCCCAAAATTTGTACAAGACAAAAAAAAATTACTTTTTAAAGTATACCAGCTACATACAAAAATCTATTTTTTTTAACTTAAAAGGTTGTTTCATTAATTTTAATTTTACAATATTGAAATTTAATTCTTACAACGGTCGTAACAAAATATTTTGGAAGCATTCATTCTATATATTTTTCATTAATTATTCAACAATTTGATTTCGAAAATGAGTTATATATTTCCAGTCCGCTGCATTACCATGTGGTTGAACCTCTTCCTCATCATCATTATCTCATACATGGTTCTTTTGATGTGACATATTGAACATAAATATTAAAAATTCTATATAAAGCATCTTCATATATTCTTCCCTTTCTTCGATGGTTAAGGTAAATGGATTTGTTTGAAGATTATACGTGTTTCAAATTTCGCTTCTTAAAATACACTCATCCTATGTATTTGGCTTATAGATTATCAAAAGCATTTTTCATTTGTTTTTCATTCGACTCCATGTCAAACTATTCTTTAAGAACATTTCCTACCTTAATCCATGAATCCTTAGGCAAGCTACTTCTTTCTACAAACGTTGTTCACTTCTTCAATGCAGGATTATAATATGTATTTTAAATGCTTATTCGACAAGTTTTTATCTCCCATTAAGACAAAATGCATAACATTTTCAAAGAAAACATGTTTCAGAAGCCAAACACCAAATATATACAAATAAGATTTTGTAAACAACTCATATTTCATAAACAAACAAGATTTCATAAAGTTTCATGTACAAATAAGATATCATAAAGTTTCATGTACAAATTAAATTTCACAAAGTGCCATATAAATATCAAATTTCAGAAAGTATGAGAAAGTAACAAATCAAATTTGGAAACAACTCAAAAATCCTAACCGATAATGAGAATCATATTCCATATACACATCATATTTCATAAAACAACTCACAAAAGATATATAAATCAGATTTCAAAAACAAAAATAAGCACTAATTTCTAAAATCCTAATTATGAGGAGAGAGAGAGAGAGAGAGAGAGAGAGAGAGAGAAAGAGAGAAAGAGAAGATAATCGAGAGGGGGGATAAAAGAGAGGGAGATAAGAGACACATAATACATGTAGAGGAGTCTAAAATGGCAACTTGAGGATAAATAGGGGTGAACACTATCATTTTAATCCCTCACCTCGTGCAAAAATCTCTAGTCCTCTTTCTTATGAATTGGGATCCATTATCGCATATGATCTCGTTAGGGATCCTAAACCTGGTCAAGATATTATGTTTGATAAACGAGACTACCTCCTTGTCTCGTATCTAAACAAAGGCTTCGGCCTCTATCCATTTCCAGAAGTAGTTTGTTGTCACCAGCATGAACACCTTTCCACCAGGAGCTTTTGGTAACCTGCCAACTATGCTCATTCCCCATTTCATGAATGGCCAAAGGGAAATGATAGCGTGCAATGGTTTTGCAGGTTGATGAAGGATGTTGGTATGCCTTTGGCAAGCATCACATTTTTGTGCGTATAAGAAGGCATCTTTTTTCATCGTTGGCCAATAGTATCCCGTCCTTAACACCTTGGAGCATAAGGATCTCCCCCAGTGTGATTGCTACAGTCCCCTTCATGTATATCTTTTAGGACTTCTGTAACCTCGTGATCTTCTAAGCATCTAAGGTATGGGCATGTCATGGATTTCCTATACAGTTTGCCTTGGATCATCGCAAAACGTGAGACCCTCATCTTGAATGTTTTATCACTTTTCTCTTCTCTTGGAATTGTGCAATTCTAGAGATACTTCACAATGGGTTGGATCCAAGATTTTGAGATTTGCGTAGGATCCTGGATGTTGGGATCATGACGATTAGGATCTTGAGGAAGCAAAGGGTAAGGATTTTCAATTATTAATATATTGGTTGTTTGATCATAGTCATTGGGATTGTCTAGTTTGTTGGAGGGATCTTCTATAACTGGGATCAATATATGGGTTATAGGAATCCTGACTTCTGGCAGGATCCTAAGGGAAGATCCTAGATTTGATAGTATGTCTGCCTTAACATTTTCTTCTCTAGGAACTTGGATTAGGATGAAAGCTACAAATTCAGAGGCTAATTTTTTTAAGGATTTGGATGTATAGTGCTAATCTTTCTCCCTTTACTACATAGGATCAATTAAAATGATTAGTTAATAATAAAGAATCAACGAATACCTGAAGATCCTTTATTTGAAGATCCTTGGCCAGTTGTAATGCCATGATTAATGCTTCGTATTCAACTTCGTTGTTGGTTGCATCGAAGGCACAACTGATTGCATGGGGTATGATGACCCCATGTGCCAATTTTAGTATGATCCCTAGGCTTGTTCCTCTAAAGTTAGAAGACCCATCAGTGAAGAGTGTCCATCTTCCCATGCTTTCTTCTTTTTGGAGTTCCTTGCTTTCCAATTCTGCTTCAGGTTGTAGATCATCACTGAAACTAGCCATAAAGTCTGCTAGTGCTTGTGATTTTATCACTGATCTTGGTTCATATATGATGTCATATGTGTTCAGCTACACGAACCACTTTGACATCCTACTTGACATCTCCAATCTCATGATCTAAGAGACTTTTACTTACATAGTATATGGGATGTTGGTCTCTGTTAAGATGCTTGGCTAAAACAACACTTACAATGTTAGAGGACACTGAAAGGTATGGGAGGAGTGGTTCCCCATCTAGTGGTTTCACCAACAAGGGTGTTGAACTTAAATAATTTTTAAGTTCCCGAAAAGCATCTTCTTGATATTTGGTTCACTCAAACTTTTTGTTCTTTTTCAAGATGTCGTAGAAAGGTTTACATCTCTCTAAGGATCTTGAGATGAACCTGTTTAGCGCTCCTACTCTTCCAATTAGTCTACGGATATCCTTTGTTGAGGATGGGCATCTTAAATCTATGATGACCTTTATTTGATATGGACTTGCTTCTATTCCTCTTTTAGTCACCATGTATCCAGGGAAATTGCCTGATCTCATTCCAAAGTGGCATTTGGAAGGATTCAGCTTCATGTTGTATTCATCTTGTATGTTTAAGGCATCTTTAAGATCCTTGAGGTGATCTT